ATATTAACCAACAGGTTACGCACAGTTTAGACAGAAAGCAGTGGGTTTCTATCAGTTGTGATCCTAATGGTATCTCTATTTGTATCCTAATAGCCATGGCTATGGGGAGGCAAGACAAAAATGTCTGTATGCATGCATATTGTTCATAAAGAAATAAGTCAATTTATTTGGTCACGTCTTTTTCTAACTGAGCTCTCCTCACCTATCATTGCCATTTCCCCTCATCTGGTAAAATCATTAGATCTGTGCAGCTTTTCTAGAGCTTTAACCTACTTCGTGTTTTCATTAACGTTCTATCTACTTTTTTCCCCGGACATGTCAGGTCTGACGTCACTAGTACATGTAAACCCTTAATAAAACGGTTACAATGCAAAAACTAAAAATTAAATCACTTAATTTATATTAAAATAAGAGTCTTCCCTTGATTTGAGCAGAGAGGGAAGCTTAACAATGATTAAAAAAACTCCATTATCTAATATAAATGCAATATATCAAGTTATCTCGTCTCAAAGGCAAAAGCATTAATCGCATTGGAAAATCATGTTATTTACCCATGCAAATTTGCACTTATTTATTGTTACCGGTACCTATTTTCAGATCAGTTTTTGCTTCAAACCAAGTTTAAGCACTTTATTTCAATTAAAGATTTTACCATTATCCAATGAAACAATAATTTGAAAGCTCCCCTTTTTTTTGTTTTTTTGTTTAAATCTTCAGTGATAAAACGAGTTTAAAAGAAACGCAAGGAAAATCTGTAGGGGACTAAAAACTTTTCCCCAGCATGGTTTTGCAAAAAATGTCAGAATGAGAAGTTTTCTACAGGATGCTTTTAGTGTATTTGTGTTTTACAAGTAATTACTTTGAGTGCTTTTTGTTTTAGTTTAGGGGAGTGATAAGCTTCAAGTTTTACTCCAAGGCTCAAAAATAGATGTGCAAATGGGGACCTTACGAGCCGCTTGCTTGGTGGTGTGGGCGAATTTCATCCTGAGCTTGTGTCAGACTGTCCTTTCTTTCCAGGGTTTTTTGAGCATAATGGAAATGACAGGAGATCCAGCACAGCACGAACAGCCTGCAAAACCAGCAGCCTTAACAAGAGTAGCGGCTTAAAAAAAAAAGACCCTGACAGCTCCCTGAAATGGTCCAAAAAACAACACCACCAGCAGACAGACACTTCCCATCTGATCGTAAAGCCCCTGTTCTTCAATTCATGGAAATATCAAGCAGCGCCATGCCGTCCCCGCTGGCAGCTCGATCTGTCTGTTTCTGTTTTCAGGAGAAAACGCACACAATGAAAAGCTGCAGAGTACAACACACTGGCCTCTGCCATCAGCTCTGACACTCAGTGGCAACTATTGATCCAGTGGCTTCGCCTTTTGTCTCTAATCACTCCAATCCTTTTTTTTTTATACAGAAGAAGTTAGAATGGTGCAAAAATGGCAGCTTAGTGGATGCAGACATTTTTAAAATAAGGAAATGTTACAGTTAGCTTTAAAAGTTTTTGAATATTATAATTAAACTGACTCGCTGATTATTTTAAAAAGATACTCATTATAATACTCCTTATGTTAGGAGGTGCCAACGTGTTTATTAAAGTTCATAAAGGAGGAAATGACTCAAAGCTGTAAGGGGAAAAAATAAAAAAAACACCTAATGGAACATTAGTGAGGGGGAATTTATGTCTAAATTACTGCTTAGTAAAAACATTTGTTTAAGATACATTTATAAAAGTCTGAGTTTTTTTTTATTGTCAACCAGAGAAAAAGCAGAGTTGTCAGTGCTGAACAAAAAAGCCTGGGAGAGAGCCCTGATTGGTTGTGGCCTTTGAGGCCTCAGGCAGCAGCATTGGAAACAGATTAAACTCTGGTGGAAAACACAGCTTGAGCTCAGGAACCATGCTAAACAGCTCTCTGAGTGAATTCATCGCTGTATCCAAAAGTTTACTTTCTACCAATTTATGCAGCACTGAGGAGATCACTGCCATCGCAACCTGGACTTTAAGTCACACAAGTGCAGAGTTATGTCAAATCTTTGTGCTAGATGCATTTTATTAAGTCTCTATAGTATTCATCGACTTTAAACTTAAAAGAAATACCACCTTCTGCAAGCCTAGAATATTTATTTCAGAAATAGACACTGGTATCCAATTTGAAAAATCATGCATTTGTAAAAATCTACGTATATCATCAATATAATATGTTCAGAGATGCTTATCTGACACTGATTTCTGATTTTCTTTGAGGTTTGCTGGTTTAAATTTAGTCAGATACTGTATTATTTTTAAGAACTATAACACAGACCTTTTTATCTCAATCTGTTTTTTATTTAACGACTAAATGAGCTGCAAGATTATCCCCATCCATGCATGAATGCAGGTGGTAGCCTTTATCTGATTTCCCTGAATTCAAAGGAAACCGAATCTTAAAATATGCTCTTAATGACGTCAGACAAAAAACAAGAAAGAGTTTTAGACGATTTAAATTAGCCGACTTTGCAGCAATTATCTCTTAAAGCCAAAAAAAAGAGACCTTTAATTTTTGGGACTACTAGCTGATTAACTGGTGCATCAATGGATGTTTGGCATTTAATCAAATCATATTAATATTAAACTGTTAATGAGTGCACCATGTAAGCATCAGACCCTTGAAAAAAAAAAAAGAGCTGCATGTTTTCCTGTAGAGTTTATCTTTCTTTCTACCAACCAACAGAATATATGATGGAAAATAAACGCAGCCTGCTGAGGTACCGATGTGGATCCTTCGTCTTTCTGTTGCTTTACTATCAAATGCAGAAGGAAGTAAACTCCCATTTCCCAATATGCCACCAAGGTTACAGAACAATCTCAAAGCGCTGGCTTAGCCCAGAGTTTCATAATGTGATTATCATTTCAAATTTAGATGAGGCAATAAGCTTCATGAAATCCCTGAGCCGATACTGATCTTTGCGTCCTCCTGCCTGTTGAGGATATCTGACTGCACCTGAGGACAAAAATGATCCAGCTAATAAGAAGATGCTATGAGGGGAGGTCAGCCTGCTTTTTTTCATCTCTGTATTTCTCACCGCCTGCATCCAAAACATGCATGATTACAAAGCTGTGCTGCCCTCAGCTGAGCTTCCAAAGCTGCTGATAAATGAACATTAAGATGTGATTAATTGAAGCACTGCTTGATGAGATAAAGGCTGAATCCCATTTCACCGCCTAACCCTCCAACCTAATGTTTCTAAAGAACAGAGGCTCCCTATTTGGTCTCTGCATGGAAAATAAAGATTGAGAAGCAATGAGTTTTATCAAGAGCAAACCTGAAATAAAGAGGCAGATGATGTCATAAATGTGCAAAATATGCCAATAATTTGTAAAGTTTTAACACATCAGACTACAAAGCATAATTTACTGCTGATAATCAGAATAAGAAAAATGTGCTATTATGCCGTATCGTTGAATTCATCCCAGTAGTCTGGAAATAATGTTCTTCTCAATGAGCCAATGAAGTGAAAACACAGGAAAAAAATACATGAAACTTCTACTTTAACGTGTTGTAATCACAGATACACTAATTAGGCTCCTATTAATAAAAAGTAGTTTGTTGTTTTTGCTGATTTTTTTTTTTAAAAGCCCACCTGTGGATTCTGATTTGTCACCAATCCCTGTTTTAATAAGACTATAGTGGATAAAAGAAAATAAAACGAGCAGCTGGTTCTTTAACTGAAGTCAACAGCATTTAAAGGAACAACAACATTTATCCATCAAGTCTCATCTCAGTTTTAATGTGTTAAATAAAAGTTTCCATCTTTTTGTTTGTGACCCACAATCAATGATCAACGCTGATCAAGGGAAAGATTGTAAGATTATCTTGTTGATTTATTTCTACATCTCTTATTGTTTAGATTTCAGATCAGTATTGCACTTAATTTTCAGGAAATATTTAATTACAATAATCACAAGCTGTTATTTAGAAACAGCCTTACACTGTATACCTATACGTGGGGTATAATGTGGTAGTATTCACAATACATTAACACTTTATATGCATTACAGTCCTTTACGGTAATCAGTACCTTTAAAAGCTTTTAAATGCTTGTTTTGTATTGTTAAATATTTACAGGATACAAATGAGCGCATTAAGTCACTCAATATGATGTTTTATCTGCATCCTGAAGGACGGACTCAATTACAGTGATACATTTTATCACTTTTGATATTGAGTGTCTAGATGCAGACAGCCGTTTCCTGCTGCTGCTGCTGTTTTGCATGAATATTGTAATGTGTGGCAACCCAAAAAGATTTGACTATACTTCGAGAAAACAAAGACATTTTCTTAAATAGATTTTTAAAAAAATTGGACATGTGTCATTTTAAAAATCTGCTTCTTAATAAATAATACATTTTATGAAACTTCAAATGTTCAAATAAATTCTTGAGTATAATTTTTCAGTATGTAACATTTTGTTACATAGAGTTTTAGAGATGATCCATCCAGTGCTTCTAAATGTACACGATTTAATAATTAAATTCAGTTTATTTATATGATTTAATAATAATCCATTCCAGTCAATAGGAATCCGATATTAAGCACCCAACTTATTCAGGATAATAACAATAAATAAGAACCACACTGGAATTTTTTCTTAAAATAAGTGCATTTTTCTTGGATTGAGGAGGTAAAAGAGACATTTTGCCAATGGAACAAGACAATTTACACTTAAAAAAAGGAAACACCATTGCATTGTGTTATTTCGAGTGCATATTATCTAATTGTCTTATTTTAAGAGTAAAAACGCTCATTCCATTGGCAAACTATCATTTACCAACTCAGGTTTTTCCAGTGTAGTTCAAGCTTAAAATATCAGCTTTTCTGAGCTGTTGATTCGCCCATAACATAATTTTCCCCCTGATCAGAGAGCCATACCAGATCCAAAGACATGACCCTCAGAATAAGTTCATTTTTTTGTTTTGTTTATGATTGTCAGATGCAGTTCAGGATAAGTGATAACATGCTACTCACCTCAGAGGGATCTTCACAGCCAGATATCTGTCAATGGCGATGGCCAGCAGGCTGAAAATGGAGCTCTGAGTGAGAACCAGGACGAAACAGGCCAGGAAGAGACAGCCGTAAAAGTTCAGGTGGAGACCGAGGCTGATGATGATGGCAAAGGGGATGGCGAGGCAGCCCACCAGGATGTCAGCCACAGCCAGAGACACCAGAAAGTAATAGGTAGCGTTCTTCAGAGTGCTGTTGATGGCGACAGCCCAGCAAACCAGCACGTTGCCGGAGATGGAGAGAACAGCGATGACTACTTCAATCACGATGTAAAACGTAGGCATCTCAGCAAAGTGTGTCCGGACTGAGATCTGCAGGTGGGTTACATAGGTGACAGGTCACCCGCATCACCTCTAGTCCCAAATCAAACAAGTCTGTGAGCTGTAATCCAGGAATAATCCACAAGTGGCTGCAGGATGTGCCATCGGCTGCGAAGTGAGGAGAGCAACAGATGATTTCAACTAACTTGGCAAAACGGGAACCTCTGTTTGCGCTGAGCATGAGTGTGGCTCACATTAGGAGCCCAAGCATCGCTTCTGGGTGTCCTCCTCACACATGCGGCTTCCGAGCAGAGGAGCGTCCGAGCGCCATCTGTAGCTCCGCGGCGCGGCCAGAGTCACGCAGCTTCCCACAGACAGCAGCTTTCATGCAGAGGAGGAACCGCATGAGGGGGTGGGGGGGCAATTTCACACGAGAGCCACGCCCCGAGACACACACTCACACACAAAAGTACAGTAAAAAAAAAAAAAGGTGGAATCCCAGGAGAGCGTCAGCGCTCCGCTGTGCGTAATTACGCGCCGATTAAATGGCATTCAACCACAGGGTTCCCTGGCACGTAAACGCTGATCAATCCACACCACATGCAGTCAATACTACTGGCTTTCATCTGACAGGAATTAACTCACGAGAGAAGAATTGAATCCCAAAGCTTTATTTCCTCAGTTATTTGCATGTGTAAGTCCTTCTCAAACTATTGTAATGCAGTTCATTATTTTCCATAATGTAATGATAAAACTTGAACATTCATATATTTTAGATTTAATTATTGCACACTAACTGAAATATTTCAGGTCTTTTATTGTCTTTATACTGAAGATTATGGCATACAGCTCATGAAAACCCAAAATACCTATCTCACAAAATTAGAATATCATAAAAAAGGTCTCTAAATGAGCTATGCACTTAATCATCTGAATCAACAAATTAACACTAAACACCTGCAAAAGATTCCTGAGGCCTTTAAAACTCCCAGCCTGGTTAATCACTCAAAACCCCAATCATGGTAAGACTGCTGACCTGCCTGCTGTCCAGAAGGCCATCATTGACACCCTCAAGCAAGAGGGTATGACACAGAAAGATATTTCTGAACCAATAGGCTGTTCCCACAGTGCTTTATCAAGACACCTCTGTGGGAAGGAAAAAGTGGCAGAAAACGCTGCACAATGAGAAGAGGTGACCAGACCCTGAGGAAGATTGTGGAGAATGGCCGATTCCAGACCTTGGGGGACCTGCGGAAGCAGTGGACTGAGTCTGGAGTAGAAACATCCAGAGCCACCGTGCCCAGGCGTGTGCATCAAATGGGCTACAGGTGCCGCATTCCCCAGCTCAAGTCACCTTTGAACCAGAAACAGCAGCAGAGGTGCCTGACCTGGGCTACAGAGAAGTAGCACTGGACTGTTTTTCATGTCATTTGGAAATCAAGGGGCCAGAGTCTGGAGGAAGACTGGGGAGAAGGAAATGCCAAATGAAGTCCAGTGTCAAGTCCCCACAGTCAGTGATGGTCTGGGGTGCCATGTCAGCTGCTGATGTTGGTCCACTGTGTTTTATCAAGGCAGGGTCAATACAGCTATCAGCAGATTTTGGAGCACTTCATGCTTCCATCTGCTGAAAAGCTTTATGGAGATGAAGATTTCATTTTTCAGCAAAACCTGACACCTGCTCACAGTGCCGAAAACCACTGGTAAATGGTTTACTGACCATGGTATCACTGTGCTCAATGGCCTGCCAACTCTCCTGACCTGAACCCCATAGAGAATCTGTGGGATATTGTGAAGAGAAAGTTGAGAGACGCAAGACCCAACACAGTGGATGAGCTAAAGGCCGCTATCAAGCATCCTGGGCCTCCATAACACCTCAGCAGTGCCACAGGCTGATTGCCACCATGCCACGCCGCATTAAAGCACTCATTTCTGCAAAAGGATTTCAGACCAAGTATTGAGTTCATAACTGTATATAACTATTTGAAGGTTGACTTTTTTTGTATTAAGAACACTTTTCTTTTAGTGGTTGGATTAAATTTGCTAATTTTGTGAGATAGGAATTTTGGGTTTTCATGAGCTCTATGCCAAAATTATCCATATTAAGACAATAAAAGACATGAAATATTTCAGTTAGTGTGCAATGAATCTAAAATATATGAATGTTCAAGTTTTATCATTACATTATGGAAAATAATTAACTTTATCTCAATATGCTAATACTTTGAGAAGGACCTGTATTGTACTTTTAATCGAAGCAAAAGTAAGAAATCTAATAGAAAATACTTAAAGATACCTTGAAAAAGTATTCATGCTCCTCCCATTTCTTTTCTCAAATATGATTTAATAAGACTAAGACAATGTTTTTTTTTTAATTTATGGTAAACAATAAAAAAATATTTGACTAAAGTGAAAGTGTACTTTAAACATGTTTTTAAGAAAGCAGCTGTTCTATGAAGTCCTCTGAAGTTTGTTGGAGAACGTTGATCATGATACAGAGCAGACAGGACATGTGGATACAACTCCCAGAGCTTTTTGGTCCATTTAAAAAAATGGAAGGAGTTTGGCACTGTTATACCACCTTTACCCCAAACCTGGAAAAGGAGAGATCCACAGCTTATGTTGGGAATCTGCTTTCATCTTAATTATTAGTTTGATTCGTTTTACCCTGATAGTGGCAGAAAAATAAATATGTTCCGGTCAAATGGAAAAATGAATGGAATAATTATACACTGGAAATATAAGAGACATGCAGTGGCAGCATAATCATGTGGGACATCTACAGGACAAGGAGCTGATCAGAGTGGATGGGAAGATGGACGGAACTAAACTCAGGAGGAGTTTAGTTCTACAGAACTGAGTGTTACAGGAGCAGAACATAAACCTTGGATACACTCAGTCTATGCTTTACATCAGAGTATTCATGTGTTAAAACAAACCAGCTGGAAGTCCAGCCATAAAACAAATGGTGAGACCTACCTCAATCCTGGACTGCTTTTCATGGCCACACCCAACATCCTTACACTTGTACAGCTTTGTCAAGCAGTGTGAAGACATTTGAGACCCACTGAGTTTAAACAAGGAAGATATATCCACATCTGCATGTTTTCCTATATTATAACACCTTATGATGGTCAGAAATGTATTCATTTAGTTTTCTCTACATTTTTAGTTCTTTCAGACGATGTTTTATGTGCATCGCCATGCAGCCACAGCAATGTGTTACAGTAGAAACAAAGGCGTACTGTAGAAAGCCGGCGGAGTCCCACTGAGTGTTCCCACTGACCTCAATGTTTTCCAATCGTGGCACTGAGCTTTAATGGGCACAGCAGGAAAGCAATTCATCCCCCATGGAGAAGCACAGGAGTACGTTTATAACACACACACTGACAGTGGCACGGGAAGGGGGGTGCTGCGGGGGCTGCAGCCTCCCTCGTCATAGCATCAGCCCCCCATGGTGGGGGGCTGTGGAGTAACATAATATTGTACTTAAAAACATGAAATTATTTATGTATTTATTTTTTAAAAGACTGTGTTTGATATGGGATTAAAATGATGGGCTGTGTATAAGATATAAACTAATGATTCATTATTTTAATATTTCATAAAAAACTAGGCTACTCCCCCTGAAGTGCTTCCGCTGTAGGTACCAGATTGACTCGGGCTGCCAGATTGACTCGGGGGGCCTGCACCTTTTGAGATGCGTCAGAGCGTCCGCCATCTTAAATGTGGCAAATCTGCAGTTTCTCAGTCACTTAAACAGTATCAGAGGGACTTTAATCTCTGAATATACTTTGTATTCGTAGTATTTTTGGTTTTGTAATATTACAAGTTTATTTTATGTATCCCTTTAGCTTCATTCTCCTGAATTTATTCTCGTTACAAATGCAGACCGCGGGCTCAATGTAGTTTGTTTGAGTGGCGTTGCCATAATGTCACGTCATCGGGAGGCGCAAGGCCCATGGCGATTTCGGTGACGTCATCGGAAGGCGCAGGGACCATGGAGAATTTCTTCGTAAAATTGTCCGTTTACAAACCGCAATCCCGCTTTCGAATAAAACCTACACCCCGCTATAATTACTTTAGTAAGCTGTCCAGACCAATCAAAATGTTTTGCGCAATTGTGCAAACGTTAAAACAATTATGTATTGTGACGTCATCAAAAGGCGCAGGCCCCCGAGTCAATCTGGCAGCCCGAGTCAATCTGGTACCTACACCGCCACCTTACATTCGTTTAGGCATGGCTAGCAATAGGCAGCAGAAATGTATTTCTGACTATTTCGAGGTAAGAAATGGTTTTAATTCCCCTATACTGCCGCATTTAGCGTTATTTATGTGCCTATTCATCTTAGTCCTGTGGCTGAAGAAGTCTACGCTAGAATAAGGCTGCATATCACTAAATTTTTATGTCTGTATTAAGCTATTTAGTGATAAAATATGAAATTAGTTAATTTTTTTTTTGTGTGTGTGTTTTTTGTTTCAGATATGAAATCAAGATGTTCAATGCTCAGTTTAGGCTATATTTAGGCCATGTTTTATTCAAGTATTCCTGATCCTGTTGATTGGGAGCTGTTGTTTGTTTTGAATGATTAAAAGAGAAGAAATAAAGTTTAAAATGTTCATGCTTTGTTCCGATGCATTTTAAATGGCAGTTTTTGGCAACAAATGTAGGCCTACAATATTATGTTAAAAACGTCAGCCACAGCCCTCAACATAATGACGTCATGTGTTTTCCAACCCAGCCATCAGCCCCCCTCGCTTGAAACAGCTTCAAGCGCGCCTGCACACTGAGGCTGAACCGTTCACTCACAATCAGTCATTGTGTTAAAACATTTAGAACAAAAAAAGCAGGTGTAAAAGAAATCCTTGATAATTCTTTATTAATCCATAATTATTGAGGAGAAAATATCCATCTGCAGAAAACAGGATTCAAATCTATCGATTCATTTAGCCACTCTTGAAAATAAATACAGGTGCTGGTCATAAAATTAGAATATCATGAAAAAGTAGATTGATTTCAGTAATTCCATTTAAAAAGTGAAACTTGTATATTATATTCATACATTACATACAAACTCATATATTTCAGATGTTTATTTTGTTTAATTTTGATGATTACAAATGACAACAAATGAAAATCTCAAATTCATCATATCAGAAAATTAGAATATTGTGAAAAGGTTCAAAATTGATGGCCCCTGGTGCCACACTCTAATCAGCTAATTAACTCAAACCACCTGCAAAAGCCTTTAAATGGTCTTTCAGTCTAGTTCTATAGGCTACACAATCATGGGGAAGACTGCTGACTTGACAGTTGTCCAAAAGACGACCATCGACACCTTGCACAAGGAGGGCAAGACACAAAAGGTCATCGCTAAAGAGGCTGGCTGTTCACAGAGCTCAGTGTCCA